ACACCCTAAAGTTGCTGCACTTGGAGAATAAAGATACAGGTGGAGTGACACTTGCGGAGAGACGAAAGAGGTTAGAAGCTCGAGAAGAAAGAGTGGAAAGAGCCCGCAGGATTTCTGGATGGGATGAGAAAGAAGGGTGGAAAGAGCCTGCAGGATTTCTAAAGCAAACCCGCAGGTTAAAACTTTTCCAAAAATAACATTTCATAACTTACTTTCAAACATAAGCAATCCCCCATATATATAGGTATGAAAGGGAATACATAAAGACACATTACATTAATTTTAACACAAGAAACTAAGCATAAAAAGCATAGAAATCCTTCTCCATGCTCACGGAAATCAACCCAAACCAGGAACCGAAGCAGCCACCGTGGGAAACAAGGAGGCCGTACGGAACCAAGGGGCCATGGCCTCGGGAAGAGCCCAGGCACGGGAAAACCAGCGGCCGGCCGGAATCCAAGGGGGCAAATGCAATGAAACCATGGAGGAAACCAAGGAGTCACGCATGGGAATACAAAACACCTAACTTGGGATTCCAAAAGCCCTTTTTGGAACCCCAAGAGACATCATAAAAGAAAACTTAAAAACCCTAAATAACATTTAATAAAAAGTAAGATAATAAATGAACTAAAATGTTAGCTAATAATGAGCTAACCCTTAGTTCAATAAATGAACTAAAGTCTAGCTCATAAATGAGCTAAAATTTCAGCTCAAATAGTAGACTCAAGGGAAGCCAAAATTCGTATTATTTTGGACATGAGTTGACCCTTCCTTTTCCTATATTAGACTCCTCTTCTTGCGAATTCAGCTCCTGATGAATTGGTTGATGATTTCCTTGAGGCGGTGCATATTGTTCATCGAGCTCCTTGAGTTTTTCACCAAACCTTTTCAGAATTTCTTCTTCCTCATTCTCGAACTGCTGTTGTAGATATCTTTTGTACTTCTCGAATTTTTGATCACATAGGAACATGTGATACTGAAGCTTGTATTGTTGATCTTGAAGTGGGTCAGTAGAATCTCCTTCTGTAGGTAACCATCTGTCCAATGGAGGTGGGACATCAGGATTATGTTGATCGCTTTCTTCTATGAATGAAACCATATTTTTGGTATTTTCCATTTTTTAACAGACTCAAAAAAGACTCAAAAATTACAAGACTCACAGAAAGACTCAACTTAAACTTAGACTCACAAATAAACGCTTTGACAAACTTGACAAACTTAGACTTGACAACTAAAACAAATTTGACAAACCAAAAACCTAGGACTTCCTAACTTGCCCTGATACCAAATTGATGCGAGCAAAAAATATGGGGGACCCTATATTTTTTGATCAACAAAAAATAAACGAAACGACACCGACACAACAAGAAATACTAGGAGAGGAAAGAACAAACTCTTACAAATAAAATAAAAAGACACCTTAAAGTTGCTGCACTTGGAGAAGAAAGATACAGGTGGAGTGGCACTTGCGGAGAAATAAAAGAGGTTAGAAGCCCGAGAAGAAAGAGTGGAAAGAGCCCGCAGGATTTCTGGAGGGGATGAGAAAGAAGGGTGGAATGAGCCCGCAAGATTTCCAAAGCAAACCCACAGGTTAAAACTTTTCCAAAAATAACATTTCATAACTTGCTTTCAAACATAAGCAATCCCCCATATATATAGGTATGAAAGGGAATACAAAGAGACACACTACATTAATTTTAACACAAGAAATTAAGCATCAAAAGCATAGAAATCCTTCCCCATGCTCACGGAAATCAACCCAAACTAGGAACCGAAGCAGCCACCGTGGGAAACAAGGAGGCCGCACGAAACCAAGGGGCCACGGCCTCGGGAAAGAGCCCAGGCACGGGAAAACCAGTGGCCGGCCGGAATCCAAGGGGGCAAATGCAATGAAACCATGGTGGAAGCCAAGGAGTCATGCATGGGAATACAAAACACCTAACTTGGGATTCCAAAAGCCCTTTTTGGAACCCCAAGAGACATCATAAAAGAAGACTTTAAAACCCTAAATAACATTTAATAAAAAGTAAGATAATAAATGAACTAAAATGCTAGCTAATAATGAGCTAACCCTTAGTTCAATAAATAAACTAAAGTCCAGCTCATAAATGAGCTATAATTTCAGCTCAAATAGTAGACTTAAGGGAAGCCAAAATTCGTACTATTTTGGACATGAGTTGACCCCCCCTTTGTCTACATCAGGATGTATATGGGTTGATCTATAAGGTGGAGAGGTACTTTCCCATTAATGGGCTAACGGAGGAGAAGCTTACAATAGCAGGCTTATGTTTTGAGGGTAAGGCACTGTCATGGTACTAGTCGAGAGACCAGAGGTGACCTATCAGGGACTGGAGGGAATTCAAGAACTACATAATATAACGTTTCCAAACTAACCGGGGAGGAGATTTCTATAAGCAGTTCTTTGCTCTGGCAGAGATTAGTAGCAGACTACCAAAACAGTTTGAGCACCTAGCCAGTAGGGTGGAGCATAGTTTAAAATTGCGCAATAAGAGGCACGCTTCAAGGCGCGCCTCTGCGCAATTCGGTACCATGCCGCCTTATTGCCTAAGCAATTTTGGGCTTTGTTGAGGCTTACGCCTCAGGAAGATTGAGGCGCGCCTCAATTGTGCTATTACGTAATTTTGGCTGAGGCGTACGTCTCATGATAGGAGCTTGCAGGCTTTTAGGGGGCGACTTGTATCATTGCATGGAGCGATTAATACCGGACCAAATCATCAGGGAGCTTGCAGATTTAAAACTTTTTTTTTCGGAATAGGGACAGATTTTTCGGTTTGCTAACAGCAAAATCTACTATTGTCAAATGCTCTCCAGGTAAACTTATTTTTGCAAAGTATCCGTATATGCATAACACTTTAATATGTTATGATTATCACTTTTCTTCTTGAAAATAGTTGAATGGTGGATCCAATTTGGTGATTCAACTCCTACGTTATAGAGTTTTGCAGTTAGAGTTTTAGGTCTCACTTGTTCTTCCTCTAGGTGTGAGCGAAACTGGAGTACATATAGTCAAGTGCAAAAGAAGAGAAGAAATCGACTTATGGGTTGAGGAATAAACTCCCTTGTGTATATTATGCACAACAAGAGGTTGAGAGATTGGAGGTTGAGGAACAAGGGGTTGAAGGATGATGAGGATCCTTTGGTGTGTGATGATGTAGCGTCTGATAATGAGTGGTTCATAGATGATGAGCAGATTTTCCATTATCAGAGCTACAGCTAGAGGATCTAAGGGTGGATTTCTTGTGGGGCGAAGCAGATCAAATGGGCACATCCACTAATTCTGTAACACAACAAGCAAATAAAGGTATCCCACAATTTCTTATGTGCTATTACATTATATTAACCTTGGGGTGGAGCAATTATCTGATATGATATTTGAGGGGAACTTCATGAAGGGGCTGAAGGTAGAGATCAGAGCGGCAGTGAAAGTTCTGATACCTCATTACTGGTGGGAGGCCATTAAGTTGGCACAGCTTGTGAAAAGTCAGAATAATCTAAAGAAGGGAGCTAGGAGCAACAGCTCTGGAGGCTCTTATAGGACGACGACCACTTCTAGCACCCAAAGGAAGGGCCTACATCATACAACATTAATGAGACTACCAGAGAGAAGCTAGTAAGAGGGAGGAGTGGGTAATTTCAAGACGCTGACAGAGAAGGAGATGCAGGAGAATAGGGCAAAAGGGTTATGTTTTCAGTGTGATGAGAAGTACACTCTAGGGCACAGGTGTAGGGATCAAACTCTTCAGGTTATCACCACCTATAATGATGAGGAAACTGAGGGAGGTGAGAGAGAGATGGATGACAAGTTGCATCTGGATGTGGCGGAGGTCTCCCTGAATTCAGTAGTAGGATTCATTTCGAATCATATGATGAGGTGAAGGGTGAAAAAGCAGGCATGGAGGTGGTTTTATTGATTGACAGTGGGGCTACCCATAATTTCATTTCCACTTAGGTTTTCAACCAATTGGGAGTGAAATTGGTGGACACTGATTATTATGGGGTGATTATGGGTATATGGAAGGTATAAAAAGGCTAGGGGATTTGTAGAGGAGTGGTGGTGACCATCCAGGGGATTTAGCTAAGGGAGAATTTTCTCCCATTAGATTTAGGCAATACTGATGTCATCTTTGGGATGAAGTGGTTGCAAACCTTGGGGAAAACCAAGGACAATTGGGGAGCACTCACAATGGAATTAATGGTTGATGAAAAAAATGTGGTTATAAGGGGAGATGCAGGGCCATCCAAAGTCATTATATTACTTAAGACCATGGTTATGAGCATCCACTGGACTGGCTTTAAATTAGGAAGTATGACCAAAATATGAGTTTTTTTTTTTTTTTTGAAATGAACTTTTCGGTATATTTCTCTAAGAAAACAAGTAAGAGACATTTGTATCCAATTATGAGTAATGAAGCATATAAAGTCATATTTTTCTTTAAGACTTTCTCAAATAATATATTTTTTTATTGCCTTTGGCTTTAGTAAGATTCTATCTTCTTCAAGATTTATATTTTTTCATGAAAAAACTATTTAAGATTTCCTTATTTTTTCCTTTTAACTATTTTATATCTCATTATCCTTAGTATGTAGGATATCATATAAATCATCATAAGCAGAGGCCACAAAAAAAATGATGTTAGTTTTTTTAGGGAAAAATATGAAGTTCGAAGTGCTTTTCTTGCTGGAAATCCCTGGCCGATGGAGAGCTGATAAGCAATAGGGCGAACCCTTTTTTGGCTGCATTTCGGATATTAAAGATATTTCTCACGTGGCTTATGGGCTCTTATTCCATCATTGTTTTTGGCCAAAAAAGGTGTATTTCCTTCTAGTCCATGGAAAATATCGACAATCCACAATGTCCATCTTTAGTTCCAGCTTCTTGGCGATTCTTGTAGCACTGCTCTAATGTAAAGTTCTGCAAGAAAGTAAGAAAAGAATGAAAAAGAAATGTTAAACATACTTGACTCTTTTTTTTGGAATAGTTGGAGCCTCGAGTTCTGGAAGGGTTGTTCGTCATGTTTCCTCTTTTGGTGACACTTCTGAGGTAATGTGTTCGATCATCAATCATGTTGGTTTTGATGGTTTATATGCTTGTTTGTTATCATTAATATTGATTTTTGCAGGAAGTTTGTGAAGATTTGCATGATAAAAACATAGAGGAAAAAAAGCTGAAGAAAACGAAACATACAACGGTAAATATACTTGACACTAAATTTGCGTTCAATGCTTTTCTCCAGCTCTCTATTCTGATTCTTGTTATCATGGTTTTTATTATTTAGGTATCTATGAATTCAAATAGAGGAGCAAAAGTGCTAAAGAAAAAGAAGACATGCAAGGTCTATTGCCTCTTTATTTTACTTTAAATTACTTTCTCCTATTTACTGACTTCTGTTTTACTGATGCTTGCTGCATTTGAAAGTTCAGAAGAGCAAAAGGAAGAAGTTCAAAACATAAACAGCCATAATGAATCACGGAGGATTGCTGAATTTAGCTGGTTGATATGCGAGGACAGTATATGCTGCTGAATAAAACAGAACGGGAGGAGGGTTTATAGCTAGCCATTTACAAGGTTTTGTAATTTTATCCGAGTGGAAAATTTATTGATATATATATTTTCTATCAATTGTTAACTTATTACTGTACAGATTTTGTGAATCAACAATATACTATCCTTTTTTTTTTATTTGAGCAGCAGTTGTTGTGCATTTTGTGGATTTAAGTATCCATCAAATCAGCTGTTATTGTCCTTTAATGTTTGCGTCTTTTTTTCTCCCCTTTATATCTTTCATCTATATGAGGTGGAAATCGCCTTCACTGTCCAATCAATTTCAATCTACTAGAAATAAATTTGTTTTAGTTTATTTCATTTTGCTCTAAAAGAAAATAAATTGGCTTATGTTGGCCTCACTTTTGGCCAAGCTTAACACAATCCTTGAAGGGAGTTAAGAACCGTCTTATGTGACTCATCTTGGCAATTACTACCTTAGGCTAAATTAGGCCATGTTTATCTTGAGCCTAGTTGATCTTTAGCCTTCTCCTATCAATTTTGGTCTACTCTGGATCATGTGTTTTATTTCTCTTAACCTGGATCTTTAAAGGTCAGCTTTACATGCTTTCATTTGCTCTAGTTAGTTGGACCACAACTCTTAGGACCAATTTAAGCGTAGCCTAGGCTCACCTTATCAATGATGTATGCTTATTAGACCAACTGGTAAAGCTCAAGACCATTATATTACCCTTAGACTAACCCAATGAGAAAGGTTATTCTATTTTGGTCCTAAAAGGACTTTAGGTCCTAAATTTCCCAAGTGTCCATGGATCAATTTTAGTCAAAGTTGGCTCTAGCTCAACTTTAGCTTTTGACCCAAACCCCACATTTGGATGAACCTAGCTTATCAAGCCCCTTGGCCATGGTCCACTTTAACCTAGGGTTGCCCAATATCTTTTTCATAAGCGTTAGACCTAACTTAGACATTGAGGAGCCAAAAGGCCACCCTTGGTAATAACCTAAATATATCCTATGTCTACTTAGTCAACCATAGCAGTTGATTTATTGATTTTGATCAACCCTAGCTTACGCTAGGAAGATATCTTGTATCTGTTGGATCTCAAATTTGATCTCCAAATGCCTATGATAGGTTCACATAGCCTTCTGTTTGGTTCCCATTATCATAGATATTGTGCCACTCATTGGGGCCTCGTCAAATTGTCTTATCATGCAGTTCCACTCACATAGGCCCAATCCAGTCAGCTTTGCATGATTGGATAATAGGATTAACCTATTTCAATAAAAATAAGTGCTTAAAAAAATATAGAAATTTCATTACACCTCTGAAGTACATGAAATAAATTGTATTATTTTTTCTAAAATTAAATATTATTTTACAAGAATGTCAAAACAAATTCCCTCTATTAATTAAGCAGTTCTAGTAATTTTTGGAAGCTTTGATACAATTAAGTTGCCTTTCGTCGAGCCTTAATTAATTCTAAGAAAATTGATCACTTTTAATGATTCTTTTTTTAATGGAGTTTCACTGAATCTTAAAAACCGATCAGGATTTTTGGGATTATGTTTGCTAAAAAGAAAAAAGAATTGCCTTGCTGACATTGGAATTTATTTGATTTTTAATTAGCTAATAAAAAAAGTATGACTTTTAGAGTAGGTTAATTGATTTCAATGTTTATTTTAATATTAATTAACTAATCAAAATAATTCTAACTAATCTAAGCAGTAATGCCACTATGCTTTGTAAAGATGGATCATGTCATGCATTATATAATGATTGGATAATTATATCATATTTTTATTTATTTATTTTTAGATAATTATATCATATGTGTCATGCATTATATAATGATTGGATAATTATATCATATGTGCATTTAAATCAAAACAAATGTTTTGATATAATTTTTTTTTATAAGAATTAGATCTCTAATCATGCATGCATATGTTTTGAAAAATAATAATGTTAAACTAATTATGGCATGAATACATTCATCCGGACAATTTTTAGAATGTAGTGTTATAGTGATCACGTTAAATTTAATTAGATGCAATAAGCCTTTGAATGTGATCTGCTGGGTCCTTGACTAAACCTTCTTGCCTTTGCAACCTCCTTTGGTGTGTTGGTTCATTAGTTTATTTATCTTGCTTAGTAAGAGTCACTAGGAATGTTAGCACCTGCTTTAGCTTAGTTCTATTAGATTAAACCAATCCAGCTCTCTACGTTAATATGGTTCAAATCCATACAATCTGCAATAGGCTATAAATCACCTTGTTATGCTCATATCAATCATATATTTGTGTAGTATCGCATTAGATCATTAAAAGCTTAGTTTGCACACATCAAACCTAGCTTATTTACTCTCTTTAGCGGAGCAAGTCAAGGTCTTAACTCCTATAAATCAAGCCCTACAACTACCCATTTGAGAACTCTCAGCTTAGATTTTGTCTTGGGAACTACATTACATGTAGGATTGTCCATGGCATTTAGATGTATGAGGTCGCCGTCTTGTAACCCTTTGTTACATACACATGTCCCATGGATATATCATTTTGACATTATTAGCTACACCATATAATCATACGGCTAGGGATATCCTAGCCGACACTCATAAACTTTGCAAGAATTTTTCTATCTCCATCCCTTCTTACTAAGCTATTATCCCTAGGAATTTATTGCTTGGGCAAGCCAGTCTTTTTTATGAAAACCTTAAATACCCCATTACATTTATAGGTGTTGATCTCTTCTTGCACTAAGATTCTCCTCTTAGGTGTATAGATCCCTTTATAAGCTTACGAGTTTAATGAGATTTTTATTAATGTTCCATCATCACCTAATCATCTGATCATAATAATAACTAGGATGCATTTATATTAATAATCATGAATCAACGCATAAACATACTAATGAGTTTCACCATAGATATATATTTTAGTATAGAAATTTGAAATATCATAAAATTACACTTTATGATTGAGTCTATCTAGTTTAAGTTACTTTTAAAGCAAGATTGGCTTATATATACTAGGCTAGGTCTATTGCACTTGGTTAAAACTAATTCTATTTGATTGATTATCTGGTTCATTCTAAAGAAGATCTATGCATTTCATCCTCTTTCAATTCAATTCAAGTCCTCAATTCTTGTTAAGGGTGAGCCATAACTTAACTTTGATAAATTATTGAAATTTGCCTTAGTCGGGTTGGAATCTTGATGCATATTTGAATTGGAAACTTTAAATTAAATTTTGAACAATTTAAACTATGATTTTAGCAAATTTTTAGTCGAATTGAATGTATTGACTAGACAAAACAATTAATACCAAGAGTGGTCCAGTTTGAGTTGCAATGAGCTCCAATAAATCAATTGAAGCATAATAGGTAACTTTAGGACATAAAATGGATGACCAAAAGATTTTTAAATCTTGCATGCTTATATTCAAATCGATTAACTCAATGAGATGAATCCAACGAGCCTAGGATCACATAATTCCAATGACATTCAGACACTTAAATGCTGAATAAATATTTAATAATCTAGGGAATCAATACATGCTATACGATTGAGTGTTTAGATTTTTCTCTATATTTACAAGGCATTCTACTCTCACAAATGTATAGTATGCCATCTTTCTTTACATGAGTGGGAGCCTAGGGACTTGAGCATGAATTGGCCTTGAGAATAAGAGAGCTCATAGCTCCTCTCAAACACCACCATCAAACAACTGTTTGACCTTCCCTATCAAACCATTGCCCAATCACCATAGTAGTACCACTACATGACCATCATTGTTAGAACAACATGATTGGTACATAGCTTTATAACCTTTGATGGACCACCATTTGACCTTCATCTTCCAACGAACATCATTGGACTACCATCATCCGATAATGATCCTTTGACCATCATCAGCTGAATATGAGCTGTTGACCTACATCTTTCAAATACAAGCCACTGACCACCATCTCTCAATTATAGTCCTCCACCCACTATTACTTGACAATAATCCTCGAACCCAACTACATCTCCCCAACTCTAGTCATTTTTTTGTAACTATAATTGTTAGGACACTATCAACTGTTTATAGTCCTTAACTACCATCTCCATGTTATGATCCTTCAACCACTACCACCCAACTATGGTCCTCTGACCTTTATTTCTTGAATATAAGTCACCTAGCTCCATTATCCATTACCCTTCTATAGTCTTTTGACCAATTTCATCTGACTATAATTCATTAGCCTCCATAACCCTACTATAGTCCTTCGATCAATATTATTTGAGTAAAGTCCACTAACCATATAGCTCTACTTTGATTCTCTAATCACCATTGAACAACTACATACCAATAACTTAGAGTTCGTCAGGGTTGTTAAGCCCTTATGAACTAGTCCCGAGATTAACCAAGAGAGGGGGTGAATTGGATATTCAAAAACTTATTTAAGAAAAAGAAAAATCTTTTTATATATTGCAGAAAAATCTTTTTATATCTTGCAGCAGAAATAAATTAAATTAATAATAAAAAGATTAATCAGAGATTTTACTCAAGTAGTTAATCATTATAAAAAATAAAGTGAAGAAGATAATTAGAAAGAACACACAAGATTTATAATGGTTCGGTACAACCTGACCTACTTCCACTCCTCGGAGGCACACTCAGAGTATTGTACTATACCTTTAGTGACTCTCCTTTAGCCCCCCACAGCTAGGCAGAAAAGCCCTTACAAAATCACTTCGACCTTTCGCGGTATGGAAGAGTAGCTAGGTTCTTTGACACCAAAGAGATATTCTTCTTCTTCCCAAAACTTCCCTCAAGACTAATGTTGAATCTGATGGTACTAAGGTGGAAGCTTGTTAGAGCAATCATGTGAAACTCCCTCCACACTCTCTTGAAACCCCCTCTAAGGATCTTCTCCAACTCAAACTCCACCATTTTCTCTCTCCCTTTCATGTTCTCTCTTCAAGTTTTATCTAGAAGAACGAAGACAAAATGGCTGCCAAAAAATACTTACCAAGTTCCTTCAAAAAGCCTAAATAGAGGGCTTTGAAAAACCCTAAAAATCAATCTTAGTAGTAAAGATCATCCCATACGATGTGCGTAAAAAGAGGGCTTCAAAAAATCATAAAAACTCAATTCCAACGCTAAATATCATCCAGTACGTTGTGCAGAATTTGACCTGATAGTTATGGACAATATTAGGATAGTCCTAATCGATCTGTTCAAATTTGTTAGATCATCCAGGACGA